ACAAAACATCAATTCCAGCAGCCAATCAAGATGTGACAACACAGCCAACCAATCCGTTTAAAGCAACAAAGCCAACATTCCACACCCCCACCTATATTTATAGAAAAACGGCAGCTCTCACAACCATGAAGCCAAAGGTACCAGCCTGAAGATGATGAGTGTGACCCCATCGAAATGTTGCCAAGATACTGTTAATCTTATCCAGGAAAAGACCCGAATACGCCAAGACCTGCATACCTATACCCATGAAAATCTACGAAAACACACACACACACATAAAACTAGCAAAGCAGAAGAGCTTATTTTCAATGATTTCTTCCAGTCCAAAGTATTAATCCAAATGACAAAAGTGTTAGTATTGTAGCGCTCAAAAAATAATAATTAAAAAAACCCAATGTCTTCTGAATCCTTGAGCTGATATATTTATGACCGTGTGCTAATTCACATGATAACACAGGAATAAAATAACTAAAATTCAGAATGAGTATCTACAAACTACTTTGAAGCAGGTACCTGAACAAAACCAGTCACCAGAGTCCTGCTCCGTTTCTTTCTTTCTTTTTTTCTAAATTTCCAGGTTGGCAAAGAGCAAAAGCAAAGCAACACGCCCAGAATTTATCTTTCCTTACAAAGGATGAACTCAGGGGTTATGAGCTTATTGGTTTTTACTTTCTATTTAATAAACATACATTTCTGTTCTTATTGATCGTACCAGGTTACTTTTAAAAAACACTTGCACAGAAAATTCCATAGCATTCCACAGGCCAAACATGCAATATTTTATCCATGAGAGGAAACTTACATAGAGCTTCTTCTTTTGTACCATGTTTCCTGAAAATAAGACCAGGTCTTATTTTCTTTTGGGCACCAAAAAAGCACTAGGGCTTATTTTCAGGGGCTGTCTTTTTTTCCTCATGAAGGCCCAATTCTTCTGCTTGCTCATGGCAGGGCAGGAGGCCATATAGCGTACCAGTGTCGCCACCACAAGACAGGGGGGTGGAACTAATCCTGCACTGGCCTACCTCAGGGCCCCTGCAGCCACGACACCCACGCTCCAACACCTGCCTTGCCTTGCAGCTGCAGCTCCGCCAACCTTATCCAGAAGGACTTGCATGGCTTGGGACCCTGATTGGCACTGCCCACGCAACATGGCTAATGGTCTATGAAAGAAGATCCCATTTCCATCCTGTACACGTACTGGTTCCTAGTTTTACCCAGTTTCTATAAATTTTAATGTTTCTGACATTTTAATGTTTTTATATTCTGGTTTTTATCCTGTTGTAAGCTAATAGTGAGATGGGTGGCACATAAATTTAATAAACAAAAAAGGATCAAACATGGATCAGCCTGTCAAACTAGCACCCCAAAGGTCAAATGTGTCATGTGCAGGCCATGCCTACTCCGGCTCCGCAAAGGCAAAGACATCACAATGCTTCACAATACATCATGTGACATGATCGAGTTGTCACCCGTGCCCTAGATTCTGTTACACTCTATTAGTCATAACTGATTTTTATTATTTGCTATTATGAGAACATATTTCTATAAAAAATAAACC